TCGCGTATTATTGTATGACGAATTGTTACGATCGAACACATTCGAGTTACATGTGGTTTGAATAGCCTGATATTAAGCGCGGCCACTAGTATCTAGGGCTGTACTGGACAAAAATATTAGTCTCGCTTATTAGCTTTCGAGTGCTAGGTGTTAGCGAAAAAAGGCCGGAGAAAAAATGGCACCAACGGCGAAGTGCACAAAACTAAACAACTTTCCAGGGCAGAGGACAGTCTCACTCTGGTTTTTCACTAGCCAGTCTTTGCTGAAACGCAATTCGACTGTGCAAAGATGTCGCCCAAGTACTACCATTGGACCTTTCTCTGCGCAAATTGCTTCACATTACCGTAAATGTAAAGTGATCAGCCACTCACACTTGCTTTGTAAATTCATACCAAATCAAGATAAGCTGTAGAGACACAGGATAAGTGCCCGAAAATTTTTCAGGAAATTTTTTTCAGCAAATCAGTCAGCTGTGTATATGATTCGTTTGGGTCGTAATAAGGCTCCACATGCACACAGGACACTGGATGGCGATCATGCGGCTTTGAGAGTCCTGATTCTGATAGAGAATATTAGAAGAATGTCGACAAATAGACTCATTTTTTATGGGTGAAGTGCCTGAATATCAGCTGGACAAGTTGTTGACGGAAACTCGGGAACTACGCTTAATTGATGAACCCCAAGAAGGGCGAAAGAGGTCGTGTGCTATCAAAGAATTCTAACCAGCTTCATGAGTAGTTTCCTGGATGAAAATATAGCACAATAAATTTAGCATTCATTCAAGTTTACATCCTCGTAACTGAAGTCTCGAAAGAGGATATGCTATTTCGTGGAGCACATCCTGTATGGCCACATTCGGATTGAAGGAGTGTTTTTAGACTTCTCGCCAGCCGAGTCACTGGATTTCAATAAGGTCAAGCTGGAATGTGGCCATGTTGGCCAAGCTTATACAGGAGAAGTCGAGAGGTAGAGGTCGGTTCTAAACCACGGACCCTCTGGTCAGTAAATTCAGGCTCTAACCACTGATCCATCTCGCCCTTGACACCTTTAATTAGTCCTCGGTCAGCTCATTGTTACTTCAACAGGTCGTAAGGTGAAAAATATATTAATGTTTACTAAATCGACTAGGAAGTTTGTGAATTTTCTTGGTAAACATTTTGAAAAAAGGGCATGTTGTAAATGGTCACTAGAAAACTAATGCAGCGGGACCAGTCCATTCCCGAAAAGAAGCGAAATGATGGTCTGTCAGAAATTGCTCCCTCCACTGAAAACACAGTGCGTTACTTTGCTCTCCGATTACTGCAAGTGTCTTTCTCGTTGAGTGCGATATGCGAAACACGATGCTGGTAATAGTTTGCGGGAGAGAAAATAATGTACAAGAAACCGTAACACCTGAGTAACTTGTTCTTCTAAAGCCTGTACTTGTTGGATGAAACATGAAACTTTCACTCCCAGCGCAAAAGGTCGCAGTCGTAGCATCAGTCAATTTGCAAGTGAATTTTCTGACCTGAAGCGACTACTAATTGCTAATAAGCTCTTATTTGAGATACCCTTATCCTAAATGCGCTTGAAGGCTCAATTCTCACTGAACTGCCAGCCAACTTGGCTCCGTTCGAATTCACGTCAACATTTAGCCGGGTGTGATTACGCTCATCCTGTTGTCTAATAGTCGGAAACACACCCAGTTGGTAGTTAGAAATAATTTCCTTAAACGGCACTAAGGTTAGTTTTGCAACCAAAAAGTTACACAAAAAAACTTGCGGGGTTTGTGAACAGTGAAGTAGTAGCTATGGTCTAGAGCAGGTAGCTCTCGAAGATGAACACATGCTGCCAAAATGAGGAGTTTTGTGAAAAATTCCACGAACCTGACACTAAATTTAAAAACATCCCTGCGTACGAAACAGCATATGCATTGAGTAGACAGTTAATCTTCATGACAAGTAATGCATTTTTGACGTTACTCTTGAAGAGTAGGTGTGGTTTCTTGCCCATTTTGCTGTTGACACTGCTTCTATCTTTAATTTTTTCTTCGCTTTTTTGTTTTCTATTATTAAGACAAAAACATCTTGTTTTTTCACCAAAACAGATACATTTCATAAAACAAACAACAAACAACAGACGTAACTAAATTTCTTTGGGCAGTAGACTACTGTAACTCCTACCCATAGAATGTCAACTTGTTACTGATACTATTAAGTAATCCTCGTTGGTTTATGCGCAGTCGTTCGACATGTGCATCTCTCTCATCCTGAAAGGTGCATTCAAAATAGCGTGAATAGTGACTGTCTGCGCAGCGATTGGTAAAGTCCGCCACTGGCAACTACTTCCTCCGTTTGTCAGTTTATGTTCACTCCATGCACACCTTTTTTAAAGTCCCCTTTCATTCTGTCAGTAATTGGAGCAATTTGCTTAAAAACAACTTCCATGAATACTAAGGTTATGTAATCAGGTGAACCACTCATGTGAAGTGTGGAATGGTTTCAATACGCCACCTAACTTCACCTCAGTTTATTTAGTTTATCCTCATTTGAGTAGCTTGTTAGGATCAAGCATGCTAAAGCGTGTCTGTTTTTTGCTCAAAGAATTAGGCTTTGCCTAAACGCAACTTGAGCACCAAAATGACGAATCCGATTTCTGACTGATTGAGTTATATAATAATAAGTTTTATGTACGATGCACTAAGAAGTACTCGGTTGAGAGATAGATTCACGTCACAAAAAGTATAAAGTAATATGAACTGTCCAAAGTAACACCTAACATGGCCCAATCAAAAAAGCATGTTGGTCTCTGGGTCACTCTCGGTAATTCTGAGTGCATAGCATTGGCTCTAATTCACTGATCGGTGATACTTCAAAAATTTCGGTCTCTTTGATCAACTAGACCTCGATACAACTTAAACTAATGAGTGAATTTCAACATTTAGCCAGAGTGCCACTGTCTGTTGTGTGCTTGATGAAGCAACATTTTATCGACTGAAACCAAGTCAGTGTCGGGCTCACTATCTATTTAGATAATCAGTCAACCTTAAGACACGTTTGTACAGTTAAAACTCCGCACACAGTGTATCCAGCTTGAAGACCTGTGTGGCCCTGTGAAATAGTGCCATCAGCAAATGCATTTCACTGAACAGAAACTGTTGAAGTGGAGCAACTCTCCCTTTTAAATCTAGTCAACAGTGCGAAAAACGTGTCACTGAGCAACCTGGGCTTTTTTGGATTGTGATATCCAACATCTGGTTCTGTTGTTCGAAATCGCAGGTAAAACTACCATTATGATGGGGATTATTAAAAAAAGACAGTAGGCTTTTGTTGTGCCTTTTCCCTGTTATGACAGAAATAGGTCTTACACCTTGCTAGTTTCAAAACTGTTTCACCGACAGAATGGTTTTTACAACCGTTCTAGATCTGGCTAAATCAGCAGCCTTTTATCACAAGACTGCTTTACAGTCTGTTCAATTAACGACCGGCAAAGACCGAAGACGAACGGCACGAAATTCGACAATTAGGGTTTCAAATATCAGACCGCTGCGTGTGGCACACTTAGTACGCAAGCAATCATTTTCGCCAGATCTTTAAAGCTGCAATAAAGCATGGAAGGCGATGCAACTGTAGTCATATAAAACTCCATAAGGACAATGTGGCTAATGTGGAAAACTTACAAGTATGGATTACACTCAAGCTTAAAGCTCTCATCCAATCTTGGATAATAAGTGTACGTCGTTATATCATGTTCGGGTGCCCGAACGACGCGTAGTAATCGAGTCGATGGGGAAATCACGGGGGCATTAATCATTCAGACCGATACCATCACAGGCTAGAAAGGCTAACTTAGCCCTTACTACCAAGAGGTTGGCTTTTTTCTACCAAATTTGCCGAGGACGCATACTCATCTAGACTACCGAATAATACAGACCAAAAGCCGGGGATGATATAAGGTTAAAGCCTTCCCATCACAGTCAGAGAAAGTGGTAGGATGATTCAAGCTACCTACTTAATCGGATTGATGATGCAGGTCAATTTACTGTGTTAGGATTGAATGTATGTACATTGAATATTGGTCACGCAGTGGACCAAAGAACGTCCCAAATTTCTGTTTGAGGTAGGGTACCAAGAAAGAAGCAAAAACATGACGATCAGTTCCTGCTCTAATAGACGGCTGATAAGTTCAAATCCATCTAACAGTACGGGGCGATCTAATGGCTTTGTGGAGCTTCCTGGCTAATTACGGTATAGTTCACCGGTTTTGTGCCTATCAACCTGGTGTCCTTTGTATGAGTATTCTTCCTGCACCGAAGTCGTAATAATTTTACGACTGCTTCAAGCAGACAAGGAGGCTGATGTAGCGAGTCACAAATGAATATCCATAGAGGTAGTCAGGAGGGGTAGTGATGTTTTGGTCTATGTACGCACATCTAGAAAACACTGGGAAATGGTTGAATGTGGCCAGTAATAAATATGCGTACACATATACTGCCAGGCTTTTTTGTGGAAGTACCCACATTACCTAGTTAGGACAATCAGACACACGGACAGGCTGCCCTGGTGATCCAACTTGAGGCGTTTTGGTGCGGACACCTTCAAGTTGTCTCGGCATTATTGAGTTTATTCGCATTGATAAAGGTTAGGCAACTATGAATGTGACACGACGTACTTTATACCACCTTGCTGGTTTTGCAGTATGAAAAACCACGCAAAAGGAGATTGTCTGGTCAATGTTCTGCAGGTGCACCATTCAAGACGTGCACACTAAGTTCCAGGTTCTGAAATAACTAAGAAGCGCGTACCATTTTTGGGAGCATCGAAAATTAGTTGTGGATAGTATAAACCAATAAAAAGAAATAAACTGGAGTTCAGCAGATAAATATCAATAGTAACAGTTACTTTATCAATGAATATATTCCTCAGAATATAAAAAACATTTGAAAAAAATTACATTCAATTTATTGCCTAGCATACTGATCTTTTGGGTTTTCATTCGTAAGCAATCTTTAAACATTACAGCAGATTACAGGCAGCAATGAAACCGGTCCCAATGCTGTACCGTTGGATCCGAAGGTTGACCTAACCAAGGGCCATCTGGAGCCACCCAAGCTTCAAGGAAGCAAACCAGATGGATCAATTTTTACCGGCTCGGAAGTTTCAAAACTGGAACCGAATGTCAGATTGCCCTCAGCTCAGGCCGATATTCCAAAAGTTCAACCACCAACTTCTACCGAACTCGATGTTCCAAAATTAGAAAAGGAAGCTGAAATACCTCCAAATCTGGTCGAGGTGCCTACTGGTAAACCACAGATAAAAAAGCCATCAATTCCAACTGGCATAGAGAATCCCAAAGTAGAAACATCAGGGAAATTACTTACGGGGCAGGTCGATATGCCCGTAATTCAGCCTAAGTTACAAGCTGCCTCAAACCCTACCAACGACGACCTTCCAAAATTAGAAACGTCAAATAAAGTATCTTTGGATCCGGTCACTCTGCCCAAAGTTCAACCAGAGCTAAAGGACGTCCCAGTCATCCCTGAGGTGGACAAGACAAATGTCGCTCTTCGCCAGAAAAATCCTGCAACTAATAGGCGAGTACCATTTCATTATAATTATCACAAGCTTTCAAACACTGGAATAGCTGACAATTTTTATTTGCATGCTTCCATCATCCGGTGCGATCCGTTCCTCAACACATTTCTGATGGATGAGTTGCTATGGGTAAGAGCCAGTCTGGCTCCGTAGGGGTCCAGTGGGATGGAGTGTGAAACGGTGCTGTTGGGCTGGTAGACGTGCATACTGTCACGTTTCTCCCCGCTTACCGGACACAATAATTAATCCGCATTTTTATACACCTCATAAAATGCTATCACCCTGTAGATTATTTGTGCTTCTGGATTGTCCCCTAGCATAAAATAATGAAATATCGTGAGGGTTTTTTCTACTGTGTTAATGCCGATGATGTGTAGAGCAAATCACTAGTAGCTCCAGTTTTATATCTAGCCATTGCTTTATTCGTCATGGTGGGTTGTGAACAAGTAAGCTGGTATGAATGAACAAACCGATGGCCGTTTATACTTATTCATGGTGGTTAACTTTGATTGATAGCAAAGCTTGCATCAATAAAATTTTCTGCATTGATGCTGCCGCCGTGCAATAAACATTTGCGTCTGATGAGATACAACCGTCACTGAGGTTGATCTCGTTCGCCAGTGTCTGTACTTTAACGTGTCAGCCACGATTGCGGCCAAGATTGCGAGGAGGAGAGACATTTAAGTGATCAGGAAAGCAGTATAGAGAGTTATAGGCCAACCAACGTTATGATAACGGTGGAGAAAAGCGATCGATTAACGGGAAGTCGGTGTTAATCGTCCAATAGCGAGTAACCGTTACATCACCAACCAACCTAATTTCCCCTTTCGAATGCCTTATTTTCTCTGCTAGACAACGCACACATGCAGAACTGTGTTCTTAGACCTCAGAAGTTTTTCTTATTCAAAAAGAGAAATACGTTGTTGACTAGCGAGTAAAAGTTTCACTGTTTAAGCTTTTCAAATTTTGGGTAACTTGCGCAGTTGTCTGTACAACCAAATGGTTTATTCCGCAGATATGAACACATGTCAATATTTTGCATAAGCATGTTGCTCGACATTTGTGTCAGACATTTTTTCCATTTAGGAGAGACGATGATTTCAGATATTTTGTACAAACAAGACAGAGTTCTTGATTTTGAATAAGTCCTCGAACCGGGCGCTCTGTACTGACTAAATTACTTAGGTGCTTTCTCAAGTAGCACATGTGAAACTGAGTCCAACTTAAGCTTGTCACTCCATTGTATGCCTTCTCGTAAACAGTGGATACGAAAGAGAATTTCCTTGTCGGTGTTTTTGCCTATCATCACAAATTATTGACGGGAAACATCAATAGCTTTTATAGTTGTACGCGTGTATGCAATCTGTAGGCCCTTGGCTCAATATGTAGGCACAGTTATCTTTGTTCCAATCGTGTCTGCAATAAAATTTATTCAAATAATTTGTTAACGAGTGCAATTTGGTCTTACTAGCCTTGTAGTGGTTTATTGGTTTTGTTGGCGGATCATGTTCATACAAATAACATTATATTTTCTGACACGCATTCACTTGTGCAGCTCTCCTCCCATCGTTCATCGTTGAAAACACTTACAATGGTGTCTTCTGAATTCGTACGGCTGTCTGTAAATGTCGTTACGACTGGGGAGTACTATTATTATGGAGATGGCAGAATTCAAAATTGTTGATACATCTTCGTTCCTCAGTTGCGTGCGATGTCATCTTATCATTGCCGCGAAATGTGATAACAACTTGGTTTCAAAGCGCACCGGTCCTTAGGTCAGACAAGAAGGGAATCAAGTAGTGATTGCTGTTCGAAGCCAATGGCAACTTTCGAAGAGATATAGCCAAGCTGTTTGAAAATGCAAACTTTTTATTGTTCGGTAGTGCAATATAACGGCTGGTTGGGCTTTGTTTTGGATTATGCGCATTTTTTCTTGAATAGAGTCATACATTGTAGATCGAAGATGGCATCACATTTGTTCATTAGTTGTTTTATGAAACTACAATCCACAAAGTGGCTTACGACAAACGGTTTATAAGAAAGATTATAACGGTTTAAGCAAGCCTAAACATAAATGTGTACCAAAAAGTCGCGTGTATCCATTTAAGTTGACGTGCAAAATCAATACCGACGTCCACCTGCTCGTTCAGGTGCTGCAGGTCAGCGGTGTTAAGCTCGAAAGCTATTCCCAAAGATATGACAAAGAGCGCCAACGCTACCTACATCCAATAAGCCAAGAAAAATTGTGGAGGAAGCTAAAAGGCTATAGAGTGAGTGCCCAATTATTTTTTCCGACAACGCCTTACGATCATGATGCGGGGATACAAAGGTATCAAGGAAACCTGACCCAAGGTCTTCTCCCTTCAGAGGCGGCACAACGGAGACTAGTCGAATTGGCAAGAAAAAGCTCCCGTCCTTACTTCAAAGGTATTCATTGTCAAGGAATTAAATTATGCCAGGAATTACAGAAACATACCCATTCAAGACACTTATTCCGCTTAACTATTGTTGAAATAATAACAAGACCAACCGTTGATGTTAGTGACCCGACCTTCCATCATGCCTCATTTGCACTGTCCAGCGATACATTAGACCACGAAGGTCATCAAAACGTGCTTTGTTCTCTACATACCTGTACACATGTGGTAAAAGATGCAAAATGGCTGAGTCAAAAAAACAGGCCTTCGACAATGCAAGAGGAATGGAGGGGGCGGGAAGGACACTTGTTGGCGGATAGCTAGTTAGAGCTCAACCGACATGTCACTGACTTTTAGGCTGATCCTCTAAAAGAGTTGCATACAAGCAAAGCCCATTTCCCGTTGCATTTCGACTTGGCCTAGTAGCGACGCCTGTTTATTTCGAATTATGCGATCAGTGGTTATGCGGCGAAAAAAGGTTTAAAAATGAGTTTCGGTTCAACGCATGGTTTAAAATGTTGAGGACAAGCAACAAACTAAACTGTCGTGTCAGAATTCAACAAACTTCACGAATCGAATTTTCGGAGATTTTCTGGCGTACCACGGTTCGTTTTCTCAAGCTGGCTGAGTTTGTGAACATTCAGCAGAATGCGCAAAGACGCATTTAAAATCGACCCAGGTGTGTTTCACCTGGATAAGCCCAGAGGCCAAAGTTATCTCTTGTGGCCGTCTTTTACTCAAGGACCATTACACAAAGCGGAGTTCATCAGCTGCATGCTAAATAGAGACGTCCCGTGGTGATTTCGTCCAGTATTTGAACTACTTGCGAGGCTTCTAGTAGCTAAGTAATTAAAATATGTACAGCCTTGTGGCAATGCCGTTAAAAATGTTGAGGCATGTCGATTGCGGAGCGCTATTTCAATCCTACTAAACTGGAGTTTGGGTGTAGCGATCCCCTATCACTCGGTTGAATACTACTCTCATCGAAATCGCTGTAACAATGCCTTGGAGCTCTTGTGCACTCTCTGCTACGCTTTTAAGTAAAATCTGTCGTTATCCCTTTTGTGTGGACGGAATTTCAAGCGTATTTCAGTCGAAAAATAGCTTCAGTGTTTGAGCTACAGTTTCTTCGTGGCATCTGGCTCAAAACGGGCACCCGCCAAAACGCAATTCGTCATATTCCCGCACCACTACAATAATCGGACGTATGAATTGCTTTCCATTACCACTAGTGTTTCAGTCAATACTGACGTGCCACATGTGCAAAACCAGATGTGATTCCCCCAGGAGCACGCATCCGTAGATATTCCAGACTTCAGGCCAAACTAACCGAACTCTCATTCGAAGCGTCTGTATTTCTTACATTTACTGCTGTCACAATGCCAAGCAGACTTCCGAGTTTACTCGGTATTATTTCTCTCACAAACTGCGGCTGGACATTGGACAGTGGCCCGAATCCATTCATTTCCACTCACATACTCGCCTTGAATCAGATAAATTTTCCATAGGTCGGACTGACTAACAGAAAATCTGGTCCATGTTGATACGCTAAAGGCTCTTCACTTTATAAGATAAAGTGGCAACCTTTGAGGTACTATACTGTTAGATCTGTCGAACCGAGTGGGCAATTGGCACCATCAGAGTTAACTCACCTACAGGAAATGGAACCCGTGCTTGACAAAAGCCTAAACGACCTTATATTTTGCAGTCCATCCTCTTTTGGAAGTAATTGGGTGTAGGAATATCAGTAGTCTTTTGAACACTTCCTCGAATGTTGTGCAGCCTGCCGTTTGGATCCGAGTCAGAGATATATTATTAGCCAACGTCAGAGTCTGGGTCTGGTGTGTTTCATTCATCCAGCGTCATTATTTAAATTACGAAGTTAAACCATGATGCCGTTCAACTGGGTACCTTAAAGCAGATATTAAGCTTTAGTAGCAACAGTGAAAATTTTGAAATTTTACCGAGCACAGGATTCAGCCTTGCGAAAAATGGAAATATAGCTACAGGGAATTTAGCATTTAAAGATTTGGGTAGCATCACGAAGCAGTTTGACCGTTAGTTTTTCCGATTCTAGTCGGTAACACGTGCAAGTTTCAAAGCCCCACCCCTTGAGGCGGCGTATTACTAAATTTATGAACAATTTTGATTCCTATACATAGGGCTACTGCTGGTTTCTGCAGTGGCATGAAACGCTATTAGGGCCGGTCTCATCTAATCCAGATACATCTCAGGTTTGCTAAAATTAAGAAATTATAGCGTTTTACACAGCTCTGATTACACGATGCAACAGACTTGTTCTCACGTTTATCTGCATATCTAATAATTGTCACCATTTTACATAAAAGGTTTACAGGGGCCCGTTTCAGCTGTCTGTAAACTATAATCGGCGAGGTCAATGCCAACAGTACTGAAAGGGTAAGAGTCTTATTATTGAACCGGTAAACAAAATGACACTGACGTGTTAAAATGCCAATTTCCTCATTTTCTGTTCAAAAGCAATGAAAGATGTTATTCTACAGAGGAAAATGTTGGTAGATCAGGTAGCGTAGATAGTCGTTGGTTTGTTCGCTGAGCTTGGCAATTCGGTTGCAAACGTTTCATCACCAATCGAGGTGACATCATCAGTGAGTTATTGGGGAGCGTGGTGATGTGTAGCGGTGGGTTAGTGGTTGTGCGTTCTTCATCTCCAGGTTCGTTTTCTTTAGGTTCGCTAAGTTCGTTATCTTTAGGTGTCCTGATGTGCGAAATATTCGTGATTGCTCTGTCAAATTCAAGCACCTTTGGCACTTCTTCGCCGAAGTAGAACGTCAAACGTTAGAAGGTCAGACATTGTGAATTCGGCTACCGCAAAGTTTTTTATTATATCTTACACCACGTCAAAATCTATTCAAACCCTCTGAGTTGCTAGTATAGGATTTTTCTATCAACAGTGAGCATCACTATTCCATTTGTGATTCCAAAATGTCTATCCTGAAAGGCTTGAAAAGGGAAATGCTCGTAATGCAGAGGAACTCAAACTCTACTGGAGAACATTACTGCACCCGGTAAAACCCGATAAAGAGATCAAGGGAAGCTAAGACGGGCTGTCACAAGAAATGTTTTACTGTACTGGGAGAAACCTGTACCTTTAGTTAATAAATGTAGTTAATAAATGTAGTTAATAAGTGTAAACAAACAGCCGAAAACTTTGCAAGCCAACGGGATCCTGATAGCCAGGAGGCATCACTTTCAATCATACTTAGCGAACCTGGGGAAATGGAGTTTAGCTTCATGGCTAACTTAGACAAACTTGAAGACAAATACCTGCGGCAACAGAATTGTTGGAGGTCATGAACCAGCTCCCAAATGGGCGATAGTTTGATTGGGCGATCCGCGTGTGGAACTGTTGAAACTGAGTGAACCGTTATTTCTGTCTGACAGACACAGATTATCAGAAAAGATATCTAGCAAGGTTTCAAGGAATTCTTATAAGTGTTGATTACCCATGTAAACCACAGAGATGGTTTACTAACTTTGTGCCAAAGAGTCCAAGCGCGGCACTCGACTGAAGTTTGTGGCAATGCAACTATATAGTTTCTTACGCTGAGCTCACCCGATGCATTATTCCAAATAATTCGTAGTAGTAATAAAACTTAAGGTTGACGGACTCGGGGCTGCGCCTACCTGATGAGCCCCAAAAAGGGCGAAACCGGTCGTGAGCTGTCGAAGAGTTTTCAGCTACCTTGTGAGTAGTTTCGTTCATGAAAATAATGAGTTCGTTTCGAAAATAAAGCCTGCCCTCCGTGGCCTTACACCTGCATTCAACCACTCAACTTCCATCAGACTTATCCCTCCTTGCTGACAGATAGTCCATAGGCCTAACTAGAACAGCCGATTCACCAACCTTCTATTAACATATGAAGTTATGTTCTTTTTTATTTGGAACCTGAATACTCTAATTGAATGTATATGGCATTAAAACAACCTATTACTAAAATTTGTGTAGAAAGAGTTCTGGTCGTTTTGGTTGAGGTGGTATTCGGCACTTGAAGACTCATCTCCAAACGAGCAATACCGTGATCAACAGACGTTTACCGTATGGCCGAAAAGTGGCCGTACGAATACACACCATCGCGAATTCAACAGAGGACGCAACTGAAATATCCTGGAATATTTTGTGACTGGCAGGGGAGTACTGGTTGAGCTGGTTGGGATTTCAAGTTGTACTTAACAATAGATACTATAGAATTGAGCATGACGGAAACAGTGAAGAGTTTGAGACAACCAGTGTTCAATCTGTTATCGTTTTAGATATTTTCGTGCACAAGGGAGTTTTATCTATGTATGATGAACTTTACTGTCACATCCGCAGCAACAAAATCATCACATACAGTGACTTCAATAAAGTCGTGGCTCCTAGAGCGTTTCGGCCAACCTTCTAGCGGCAGTGATCACCAGCTGGGGAGGAAGCTTCAGCTGGCAGAATCGTAATTGGATCGATACCATCGTATTTAAGATATGTTAGAAAATATTTTAAGAAAAAGAATTCGTTTCACAGATAACCGCTAGAATGGTTATATCACGGGATCACGGGATCCAAATTATTGGCTGGTTTACTCTCGCGTGTAGTAAGGTCCTTTAGATAATCATCAATTTTCAACGTTCGTAGCCAGCCTCTTGCTTCTGTACGTCAGTTCATAGTATCGCGCCTCTAGGAATTTACACTGAAAAATTGCAATTAAGAATATGATACTGCTAATACTACTAATACGCGTGCGTGAAAGCAAAGAATGTGATTCAGTTGAGTGGTTCAGATCGGCATTGCTATTGAATCGAAGTTGAGAAGGTGTTTCAGAGGAGAGCGGACAAATCATTAAGAAACCGTAGGTTAGCGCCTGCATGTGGTTATCTTCCGGAAAATACCACCACCCAAAATTGTAGGAATCGTGGATGGTTCACTGTGGGATATCTCCGATTTGGGTCGCCGGGTTTTTCGTAAGTTTTCACTGCAGTCTCAGAATTAATCTACATGTATGGTATTACATTCTTGTTGTATCGTTTGAAGTTCTGATTTTTCGCATCCCTTTTAAGGTAATTTCGTTTATCCATATACACATGGTCCTCTCTAACCCTGAAAAATTTCCCGGAGTACTAACATATAGCGGCTACTAATCTCCAAGCCGAATAACGGTTGGCACGATCAAGCTTGGTTTGAGTGAGGTCAGTCTTTTGCATAAGACGGACCACCAGACCACATATTGCATACTCTGAGGAACTCAAAGGTTTAGTACTTCTACGAATGAACTGTCAACCGGAGGTCACTAAACTGCGTATGTGTTGGCTTACATAAGGCACAAAATATTCATTTTGTTGCACGTGCAGCTTAGCACAAACCGCATGCTACTGTATTGTGCGCACGAGTTAGTCGGATACGTTCAGCGTGACACCAGAAAACTGATACCGGTCCAGCATTTCAGTCACGTGAGTATTCTTAATCGGTCAGTTTTTTTTAGAGATGTATGACATCATTCTCCCCATCCGAAGCATCACGCGCCTGATTTTTTCGGAACCAAAGTTTTCTTACTGAAGAAACAATCGTTTACTGCTCAGCCAGAATCTACACCAGGTCTGGTTTGTCGCGATCCTCCGACGGGGCCGTGGCCGGCTGGTTTCGAGATTGCAGCTATTCCTATCACCATTATATTCTGTGACGAAAAGACTATGCAATAGCTGAATATAACTTGATTTAGAAGTCTAGAAGCAACCAGAAGCGTATACGCCAAAAAAATAAATTCAAAAATTTCAGGGACAAAACTTCGACCTTGCTAACATAAGTGAGCACGTATCTCATTTCGAGTAAGCTTGAACTCAGTCACAACAGTTACCCGAACAATACTCTTCAGTGATCATATAATACATATACACTCAAATGAAAACATCACGTTGGGATTTTCGTGGTCCGAACTCACTGACCGCAATGGGAGGAGTTAAAATGAATGACGGAAGATATCAGGTAAAACGCGGTTTTCCTCATGGGACTTTTTCTACATTTCATGCCCGGTACTATGTCGCAGATTCTTTCCCGGGATATTGATGATGGGCCCCGGGGAAATTCCCAAAATAAGACGAGCTTCCACTTCAGGGGTCCTGAACGTAAAGAATGATGGGAAATTTCAAGAATGCTGCCTTGCGTCAGACAACCTTGTACAAGCCTAAAACAACAGAGATTTTCGCGCACATTTATCAAACTTTGCTGCTTTCTATTCCATCGCTGTCATTATACTTATCAGCGCGTTCGTGCAGTCTGTTAATTCTTACGGCATTATCGTCTATTTCCATGAATATTCCGGTTCCTTACCAAGCTGTGACTATTTTTCTTTAGCTGGCAGAAGGATTCGGCCAATGTAGGGTCAGCTGGCGTGCCCGCCAGAAAAATGATCCATTCTTCAATGAACTGTCACATTCCAGTGGAAGAAGAACCAGGTGACCGCACGGAAGTACTCTATGGGAACATGGATAAAGGACTCCAAGCCCGAGTGATCCGTCACGTTAACAAGTACTGGGACCATAAAAATCCCATGCCATCTATCTATCCGATTTTACTGAAACTTGAGCGGGAGATCGGTCCTGGCTGGAGGGTGGACAAAATCCAAAACGAGCAACATGTTCGTGCGGACGCCGTGGTTAAGAGCACAGTGAATTTTAAGGTATCTCCAGATCCCACGATGTACTCAATCTGGAGACAGCAAGTTCCACAATTCTAACGACCCCACCAACAAAATCTATAACGTTTTCTTTTGTCTCTTCTCGCATACATTGACTGTATGGTAGACTGTTATCAGCAACGAGGCATATTTTCCCTTTTTCTATACTTTTAACATTCTGTTTAAGAATATTTTCGACAGCGCCTCGCTTGTAAATTTAAGGATAGCTGTATTCTACATAATATCCCTTTTCTATTCCTACATGGACCATTTTGGCTTCAAATAGTGAACTGTGTGGAGAGTTGTCGGGAAGCTTCCGGTTATCCAGAGTATTTGCAACTTACCTCACGTTCACTGTTTACAATAGCATGTCTCCGATCCACCCGGATCCTCACCAAGTGCGACTGTCCGTACTCTGGTAGGGACCATCCCCGAGTGCTTGATTCTCAGTAGAGACCGGATGGTTCTGTGAAATTTGAGCTTAATGGGAGAACATTTTCGGGCATAGTCAACTTTTGAGGCATGGTTGTATCAAAATCCATGCCCAAACAGAAGGAAATATTGTTTTCCCGGCTGATCCGATGCCCCAATCAGTGTTCAAATTCTCTTGCGTGATGCACCCTGCAAGCTTAACGGATGCATTTTGAAAGCCCATCATAAATGCAGTGAGTTTCATACCAACGGAGAATCCGAGGGGCAAACAAAAATCGTTTCCTCGTTTGGTAACCTCCTTGCAAGTGAAAAGGAGTCTATTCTCGTAATGCGCTTACTTACACACTAATTTGGTTGCAACAGGTGACTCATCTGAAACCCGGGTGAACCTCTTTTTGATGCTAGTCTTCAGATGCAAAAAAGCTGCCTCATGTTTCAGTTGATGCGATATTCACGATATCGTAGTGCAGTGTCTAGACCGTGTTTGCTGCTGATTCGCCAGTCGGTTGTATCTGGCTTCTGACCCGCTCCAGCGCCTAGTGCCGGAGACGACTCACAGAAGGGAACACAACAGCTATATTCCGAACAAGCGAGGGCAGAGCATGAGTGCGTGCGTGCGAGTGCCAAAGCACAACGGTCTCAAGCTATTTTCTGAAGGGACACTGGCTGAACTTGGTGTAATACAGACGCACACGGTCTGGCTTTTGTACAAGGCTGTGAAGCGCTGCATATTGAGGGGGCGTTGCCTAGCTGGTCAGAATCTAGCGCAGCTGAGGGTCTCAGTAGATTTCGGGCATTCAGTGGTTGCTTTCAGGAATCTGGCCTTCCTGATAGTATTAATCACATACGGTAGCCAGAACCGGCTTCACTTTTTTGGGCGCAGTCTTTGAGTTTCTCGCACCCTTCTGCTCCACATGAGTATCTTAGTTGCTTGCTATGACCAAGTTAACTTGGGATTGAGAAGGGCAAAGGCGATAATGGGTAGGGAAGAAATTTCGGCGCTTTTAGGAGTGGTGTGTTCTATCTAGAGAAGGATTCTACTGGGAAATTGATTGGTCAAAAGTACACAACAGCGTATCCACTTGATAATCATATCACAAACCAACTTACTTCAAATGTCGATGTGAACCTAGTTTACCAAAATGAATTAAATGATTTAATTCTGTAACACAGTTGACAGGGAATATGGTTACCATGGTAACCATTTGACCCCGGCAAACATAAGACTTGTGGTTCTCTCACGCGACCGCAACAAGCCGGGTGACATGAAAGCAGAAGTGTACTTGTCAGTCACTGGACTGCATCCAATAGCATTTTCACCACTGATCCAAATCAGCAGCTGCTCGTCTAGTCCAACGGTAGCCATTCCAGTTTGGAGGCGATAGAACGGGAGGTTCGCAGTCTATCGAAAATTATACGGAAGTACACATAATTGCACAAGAAAATGCTGTTAGTGGTGTTTTCCCTACGCCTCTTAAACACCAGTACGGATGAGAGAAAGGCAGAGGCGATCATGGACCACAAACACTCCATTTTCATCAGCAGAAAATTTCCAAGTGA